GTTAGCTCACATTAACTAATTACATAACCTTAATAGCTCGCTTACTGGCTCAGTTAATGTACCAACTTACAAACCCTAACCTAGTCACCTAATCTCACTCTTTCACATAACCTAACCTGCCCTCCAACTACAGTTTTACACTGTAGTAAAAGTGTATACAATATGAACTTTGAAAAAACATTGTTATACTTTTTACATCCATTCGTTCCTACTGTAATGAACACTATGTAAAACAATTTGTTTTAATTAATATTTTATTGGTATATGATGAATATGCAAACACAATATAAAAAATTAAACCAAAAAAAATAGCAGTACAAATTAACTGAAGCAGGTTCGTAGAGCTGTACCATTATAGTTTACTAGTACCAACTATTGTTTTGTATATGTATATATATATATATATATATATATATATATATATATATAATATATATATATATATATATTTCTATAAACTGAAGACATTGTACTAGAATGTTCTGATACTGTTCTGTACAGAAATGTGTTTCTGTCCTCAATATGAATAAACCTATTGAATCTATTATTTTAAGCCTAAATGTGGCAATATTTTGACAGCTTTTAGGCCCATATTTATAAACGATGCTCAAGTATGGATCGATACTTGAGATCGACCTTGAATCAAATTTGTATTCTATAAACCGTTCTCAAGCACGAAGTCGAGCTTGAGAACGCAAAAATGACAGCTCGTACTCAAGCATCCGATCGACCTGCCTTGAGTACGGGATCCTAACCTAACTTGTTTGTTTATATTTATGAATATTTCCAATACAATATTTTCTTTGTTTTTTGAGATTAATATTGTCGTTCAACATCCAGGATAAAGTATTGGTAGCTTATTATTTGATCAAAGTTGATTAAAAGTTAGAATGGAAAGAGGGCAAATTCCAGAATTATTATGAATAGTGAATATGTTTGCAGTGCAGACACAATCTACTTACTCCAGTATTATAGCCAGGTATTTATTGATAATTGGCCAAATAAAAAATAGATTATTTGATAAATACATCTTTTTAGGCAATGATCAACAAAATAGATATAATAATAGTACACATGTAATGTGTAAATGGATATTTGGAACCTGGAAAATATGGTTTCCCTGTCTGCAATGAGGCCTACAAACCAAATTAAATACATATCTTGCATAATAAGTGCTACAGCAGTACTTTGCAATATATGTTTACAGGAAAATAATGATAGTGATGATGATTTTCTAGAAAGTAGTAAATAGAAACTTTAATGATGTGGAATGAGGTTTAAATTTTAGGAGACATTTTATTCACCAATGTTATGCATGGGAATGTAAATACAATATTGAATACTTATTATGTATGTTCTACCTTATTTCTCAAAATGTCAGAATGATTATCATTACTTGATTACACTTTTTGTTGTTTTTTTTATTTTATATCTTATCTTTGTTTAATTCAAAGTTGTTGATTTTGAGAATTAAATACCTATATTATATTAGATATAGTATGTTTTTGTCTTATTTATAAAAATGTGTTTGTTTTAATTTTAAAATAAATGAGGGTTTTCCCTCACTATGCTCAGACAACTCAAGTAAGTATGTCTTCTCTGAGTACAAGGAGTTTCCCTCATTTTAATTAAGTATTTATTCCTTTCATAAAACCTTTCCTTACCAAATAAAAATTAATACAAATTTAGAATATTAATATTCTTTATTTAAAAAATTATAGTTATAATTAAATACAATGTAAAATAGATTATTTTATTTTATAGCTTTATCAGGAGTAAACTGCACAACAATTAGAACATTACAAAAATATAAAGTAATTATATATATATATATATATATATATATATATATATATATATATATATTATATATATATATATATATATATTCAATGGTTGAATATCAGAGGTTTTATCAGTCAATAATTGGCAAATAAAAGTCGTCAACTACTTTATTGATTTATTTGAGTACGTTTCGCTTTTATTTTTAAAAGCATCATCAGTTCACTACAAATAAAAAAGATTTTAGCATATAAGTAAACAACCACCAGGGTTCATACTTACAAAAACAATTTGTAGATTTTTTAAAGGATGTTATAAAAACTCTATAATAACTTAACATTAAAGATTACAAACTAAACAAGAGAAACGAGACAAAAAATACAAGAAAAACAGTAAGAATACTATTGTTCATTTAATTTTAACCGATGGCTTCATTTGAATGCTAGTTTAAGCTCTTTCGAGGACGAAAGATATATATATATATATATATATATATATATATTATATATATATATATATATATATATATATATATATATATATATATATATATATATATATATATATCGAAGTAGCAGCAATTTATTACAAATTTTTAATAATTTTCTGTAAACAACATAAAAATATTATGAACTATGTATTGCAATCAATACTTAAAAAAACTGAAAAAGAAACATACATAATCAAAAAACAAAAGACTATACAACAAATAAAAAGGTAAAACCATATCTTACCAGCAGAAATTAAAATATTAACAATCTTAAATCTACATTAAATACTATCTAGAAATAAAATAAACAGGAACGAGAATAGAAAGAAAATAAACATGATTTTACAACAAAGTATATTTTTTTGTCTTTATAGAGGGGGGAGGGTCTGAAATCTTAAGGCATCTCAGTCCAGGATGCCGCCTGACTGACCTTAGTGCAGGATTCATTCTTCGTAGTTCCTGAGGTACTTTAAAACATCCTCTCTTCGCTGATTCTACGTCAAATGCCTACCTGCTAAAACAGACCCTACTCTGACATTCAGTGCTCCTAAAGTGAAAAGGCCACTGAAAGACCGAGTTAACACTTTTCAAACACTATCTTCAGTTGGGAATAAGCCACAATGTTTTGTATGTTATAGTTACTGATGTTTTAATCTCTATGACCAGATATTGTTACCAAAAATACAAAATTGTGATTTATTTTCAGAAAATAAATCACAATTTTGTATCTATGATAACAGCCTCTGGTCATATAGATTGAAAAATATCAATAAATAAACATATTATGGCTTATTTCTACATGTTACCTAAAACTGCAGAGTATCCAACAAAGGAAAAAGATCTTCTAGCGCCTGAAAATAAACAATTAATTATAGACAAATTCCAGTGACAAGTCAAACATGATAAAATCTATAACTACCCTTTTTATAGTCTATTAACTTCAATGAAGCTAATTCAGCTTCATCAATAGCTCTCTGCCTCTCCTTCTCATATCTTCTTCTAAAATCTTCATTTTCATCCTATGAATCTCGTCTTGCTGCCTGATGGTATAATTAGGCAGCAAGATGTTGACCTCAGGTTGGCAGTTATAATTTGTTGCTATGAACTCCCAAGCCATATTTTTCCCCATTGCTGAAGTGGAAAACAGTTTGTCCTTTTGTTCTCTATGAGTAAGGTGCATATGTACTGCTATTTCCACTCATCTAAAATTTACATAACCAATTTATTTAGCGTACGGCTTACACATGCAATATAATTATAATGATTGTAACGGATTACATACATATAAATATATCCAAAAATAAATATACATAAGCATATATTTTGAACATCAAAAATTATGCCTCAGACACAGTAACAAAATAGAAATTAATTCTGTAGAATAAATATTTTTTATAACATATTACATACCTTAAAATAGTTAATATCCAGTATTAATTTCAAACACAAAATATTAATATCAAACACAAAATTTCAGTAAGTAGCATAAACTAAATTTGGCGCTAAAAGTTTAGTCACAATTATGAGAAAATTGACAGAATCTTCTTTTTTTCGATGTTTATTCGTAATTTACTTTTACCGTACTAATTTTTTCTTGCTTGAGATCAAACTTGTACGAGAATACCCGAAGTATCGTTTATAGAACACAACAAATACTTGAGCATGACTTTGACGTAAGTTCGACTTGGCCAAGCACGTTCTCGAGCACGATCTTGAGTACCGACTATAAATACGGGGCTTAGGTACATATTTCACAAGATGCATATACACAAGTCTTACTGTGTTAATCCTTTATTTCCATTTTGAAAATATATCCAGTAGGTACCTATACAATTATTAATCTAAATAAAATCATGTAAGCAAAAATCTTTGAAACTATAACTATAATAAATATCAGTTAAGCTTATACTTTAGAATGTTTTACTTGAGAACTAAAACTTGAAAGGGACTTCTAATTACATAAATGTAGCTAGTAGTATTTTCAAAAAATAATTAATGATTTGATTTATGAAGTTGTGAAAGTGAATACACATTTTAAGAGCATGTATTGGAAATATACAGACATGCCACAAGAGAACAATTTCTGAACCTCTTGAGACTGTATTATTTGTATAAAAGTAGCTAATTAAATCTTATGATCATTAAACTAAATAAAAAAAAATCTTATGATGGGTTACCACTTTCACTGTAACTCCTTAACATTTCAGCCCATGTAAAACATTAAATGCTAAAGAAAAACTAATAAACTAATGAAGATAACAAATATTTTTTGTGTGTAGATTTACAATTTACATTTTTTGATTAAATATGTTCACAAAACAAGTCAGTTTTAACGGAATGAAACTAATTATATTACAAGTCTGCACTAATATTTTCTGTTTTTAACACTTTTTTACTCCCAACCAATGCACCACTGTGACAGATGAAGTTGACAGTTGTGTGGTTGCACTTGCGCATACTTTTGTACTTACGTTAGTCGTTAACCATGAATTATTATGCAAAAATTTTCGAAGTAGGAAAAATAAACTTTATGTAAACTGAATGATAATACATGACCATAGACTTGTTATTAACTAATATAAAATTACATAAATTCTCAAAACCAAAGATAAAAAATATTGGATACACCTCGTACATTAAAAAGTATGCATTCTAGTGCTTTAGTGTTACAAATCTTTAGGTTAGTTCATTTAGTTTTAACAAATAAACAAAATATGATAAAGCTTACCTGAATTGTTGTTAGTACAGTTACTATTTCCACTAACGGTTTGGGACCATCCATCTTATTGAAAACGGACACTAATTGTACAGTCCCAGAACATAATCGACAAATATTTTGAATATTGTCTAACTCTGAGTTTTTCGCCACTTCCAAATTCATTTTTATTTATTTAAACAATCTAAACAAACACAATACTTTCAATAAACCGTCTAATTACTACATAATACATTAAATTCAATTCCCACTTCGTAAAATCATCGTCACAACAAAGACTTAACAAACAGTAACAAATATGTCCCAGAGCCAGCTCCAGCTGGTATCTTAGTAATCGACTACGACCACTGTCGGATGGAGACGCCACAGTCGGTGATTTTCCGGAGTATACTATACGAGGTTATTTCGGAATGCATGTATTTCAAGGCACAAATACATGATCTCCCTTTACAAAAGTAAAGGTTAGTGAGATACAAGGAGGATGAAATATTTTTTGGAAAAGTACTTCTAATTAAGAAAATCATTACATGATACACTGAATTGTGTGTGATATGTATTTGAAAACAATTATATGTACAAGAAATAACTAAATTGTAAATTAACGTTATTTTATTAGTATTTTTTGTACAAATACATATTATACTGTTCAAAATTAGGTTTGTGATATACCAGGAGGATGACATATTTTTGGAAAAAATACCTACTTACTTCTAATTAAAAATTATTTAATAATGCATTTAAGTGAGTATTGTTCTGAAGCTATTTTCTTGTGACACTTTAATATTATTTTCCATCTTTAAGGGTTTAAACCACAATTTCAATTAACATTTTGTTTATTTTGATGATTCGTAAATTAAAGTATACACGAAAAAATTATTATAAGAAATATCTATTACCTTTATATTCGATTTGATGGGACAAGTACATATTTAATATTATAAACATATTTAATTAATTTAAAATATCGTAATTCTTACATCCACACCACGTTTTTGATTGTTGTACACTAACTACTACCACTGAAATGTTTTGTACACTATTTTTTAAAAGTAAAAATGTTGCACGACACAATTTGTATACAGTGACGTCACTTATATTTAAAATTTCCAGAACGTCAACCTTAGAGTTAAAATTTTCCTAACACATCTAATAATATAATACCTATGGTATAATAATCAGAAAAATGTAATCATCAGTACATTGTGAATTTTAGATAAGTCTAATATTAATAATAACAAAATAATATGTTTAATTAAATAAATTAGACAACTGTACGCAACTGATACGGGAATACTTCAAATTTTAATGATAGTTCAGCGTGTGGCAAAATTGTTTACAGTGTTGCAGCTTTTTTAGAGTAAGAATTTTGTTTGCGTTTTGATTTCTTACACAATTTGGTCATAATATATTATATATTATTAAATTGTATTTATAAATACATATTAAATTTAAATTAACAGCTTTAAAAGCTAATTATTGTTGTGTATTGTGATTGCGCTATGCCAAAACAACTAAATAGTCTGTAGAAAGCTGATAAGCTTTAATAGATTATTTTGAACAAGAAATAAAGGTGGGACTTTTACTATTAATGCTCTAAAAGAGGTATGCTTAAAGTTTAGAATATATAATTTTATAATAAAATGTTTCTTACTGTATTTAAGTCTATTGCAGTAGTCTTAAAACTAAGTGTATCTACTGTTAATAATATTTCTCAAGCTGATAAAAAAATGACCTTTTAAAATCAATTTTGAAAGTATGATTATTTCCTTTATTTAAAAAATTCAATTGACTACAATATTATATACTTAAGTAGTTGACATTTTAAAAATTCCTTACTTATTAACTATTCTAATGTTTGCAACGCTGTAGGATTCTGACGTCATAAATCTTGAATGACGTGCATGCATTTTATATGAAAAATTATTTATTTATATATCATATGTCGGACCAGGTATACAGAACAAATTTTAACATAACAAAGCAGTAATGTTCTGGTTTAAATTGTAAATAGTTGTTCGTTTTTGTAGCAATTTTGTTTAAACTTGATAGTTTAGACAAAAAGTCGAAAAAGTTCAATCAACCACATGCTGAAAATTGTTTTAATCGTTATTATTATGATGCCAATATGCTATGCTGAAAAGTTTACCGAAAATTTTTTATGGCAACCTATTTATGTATAACATTTTTTTTTAATAATTTGAGATTTATTTCAAGACGAAAGTTATTCTTATAATTTTTATGTAAAACGTTTACTTTAAACATATTGTGCAAATAAACTACTAAAACAGCCAAAAAAGCCAATTTTAGCGTTTTTGCGAGGCCATTTTAATAGGTTGGACATTAGATGTTAAAGAAACAAAAACTACAAGATGAAAGCTTAAGTCAATTTATTTAAAAATGGTTAGTTTCATTTTGATGTTATATTGCAAAAGTCAGTTTAAAATATACTTAAAGCTGTATTTAAACTGCCGTCAAATGATCTTGCACTATAATCCCGTTAACAGCTATGACGTCATTCGTATGATGCGTTTGAAGGCATTTTCTTCGGCTGGCTCTAGACACTAGTCAAAAGTAAGCATATAATGATTATCAATAGGTACTACGTCGGCACTGTTAACCAAATTGGAGTTTATTTGGGTTTCTGCATTTGAATATATTTAATTTATTAATTTTAACAATATGGGACAATAAATTATTAATAAATAATGAATTTTCAAATAACACTAAATGGTTTTATCATGACTTAATTATATTTTATTTTTTATTTAATTTTTTGAAACTGGTAGAAATTGCTTTTATAACATTTTATATTTTCATTTCATATCTAATTTTAAGGTTTTCATGTTCATGTTCAGATTAAGATGATCATGGAAGAGGTTTAATTGAAAGAACTCATATTGCAGCACAACAAGCGTGTTTCTTACGTAAGTACGTGTAAAACAGTTGTATTTTTAAAAGAAACATGTCGTGGCAGGATGACAACAGCAGAAGTGTAAGTAAACCAGGTCTATCATGGAAAAAGATTTATTGTAGTTCATGCTGCTTCAAAAAAAGGTTTTATTTTAGACGCCAGTTTGATATTTTGTTCCAAATCCTCGACGGCAGATTATCAAAGTGAAATGAATATAAAAATGACTTAGTTGTTTTTTTTTTTGATAACTTAAACTATACGTTTTGTACTTTTAATCTGTATGATACATAAATTAAGCTATTTTCTTCGCTTCCATCATATTATATAACAATATATAGTAAATAACAATAAATGTTGCTCAGTTTATTGTTATGTTATGATATTTACTGGAAAAACATCAAAAATAAAATAAATATTTACCTCTACCTATACACGCCATAATACACCTATATGCATAACATGTTGCATACCATTAAAACAGGTTTAAAAATTAAAAAGTAAAATTACCCAAGCTGGGGCTCTTGGTTTTTGAAAAAAAAAAATACAATATTAAGAACACCTAATTACATTTTAATCATATTGTTTTTTTCTTTCTGTTCTCTATGTATCAGAGTTAAAACACACAATTAAAAACTGTCATAAACTAAGTTTTACTATCCTTACCTAAATTTTAAAAATTTAAGAATGTATTTTGTCCATTATTTTATATTTTATATCTGTGTTGTTAATTTTGAGTGTCAAAGCTTTTTATAAATAATCTCAACTACTAGTAAGCTGCACTGACGAATTGTGATATTTTGTAAATATTTAACCAATATCAGGAAATATTCGATTTAAAAAAAAAAACAATATCAGGAAAAGCGGAACCAATATCGTCCAGCCAGGGAGCCATCAAAATATTTGTTTAAGATATTAGTAGTAATAGGTCACGGAAAGGAAGGTAAATAACAATTGGACAATTGGGTTAAAACAAAGGTTAACGAGCTTAGCTAAGATTGACTACAGACACACATTTGCACTATGTATAAATTTAATCAAACAATCATAGACTTTTTTATTATTAGTAGCCAATAGGTTATTTATTTGATATGGAGGAAATATTTGCAGAGTTTGCAAGTTGTTTAAAAGAGTTCCTGTATGTTGAATACATTTGGAACAATAGAATCATGAAAAAAAACCTCCAATCAGAATAATGAAAAATCAAGCATCCAACAAATCATACACCCAAAATTATCAATAAAAATTAAATTAACTTATATCCAAATCAAAGACCTCTTATTTTATTCATTCATTTACTTTTTTACTAGTGACTCAATAATTTCATATTTACTTTAATTTTTAATTAAGAAAGAACAAATATCTCTAATATAAGTAGATGGCCGTAGTTTATAATCTCTGTTAACGAAATGACAAAACTAATCCTTTGTCTTCAAAACGGCTGAGTCCACCTTATTCTTCATCGATTATGACGTGTCCAACTCGCTCGTAATTCCCAGTTTCTCCAAATACGCCTGCTATCTCCTCTGCCTCTATCGTTTTCGATAAAAATTCTACAATTGCAGTAATCTTTGCCCAACTCCTAACTCAGACACCTAATTCCAGGATCAACTCCTTCTCTTCAGACACAACGATATCTCAACTGATCGACTTAATCAAATATAAACTAGACATCTGTTTTTTTCTTACAGTATGACATATATTTCTTCAACTTCTGTTGGCTGCTACCACAGTTGGACCTCTTTCCACCGTCGTATCAGGAAAACTGTAGTTTCGTCTACGAGTCTTCCAATGACAATACCCATTTCTTCTACTAGCAGGACTTACATCGACCCCTCACACCCCTCTCTATATTTTCTAAACCAAACAGAACGCCCAAATATCCCTCTCATTCCAGTCGTTTTCTACCAATCAAGTTTGCATGTTGTCACAAAAAACTCACTGCTGCCAAAACCCCATCAATCAAGCATTTCTTAATAAAAGGTCTTAAAAATTTGTTCAATTTCTAAGAAAAAAGATAAGTAAATATCTGCCTAAACAAATTCACTAATCCTATGGCTTTATACATTCTCTAATCGTTCGTGGTCCGCCTTTACAAAGGCATCTTAACATTTTATTAAAATTTTGTATTTACAAATTTCTTATCTGCATAAATGGTCTAAAAATGGCTATTGTCCTTTTCACTGTGAATGTTTCCTTTGTGTCTACACAATTATGAATACTCCAGAGAGTTCTCCTGGAACATCAAGAAGAAGCAGAACTAATCTGACTTGACAATGGCAAGTGTGACCCTGCCGAAACGTCACCAAAACAATGGTTTTTCAAAAAACCAAAACTATCTAACGCGGAGTCAAACCCGGAAAACAACTGAAACCACATATAG